TATTTTGATGATTGTCATTTCATTAACTAGTGAATAATGGATTAATTCATTAAAACCACGCGTTTAATAAACAAGAAGTCAATTTTTTTCGAATTTGATAACTCTCATCTTGGATTCCTACTTTTTTGATATTAGGTAATCGAGTTAAAAAATTATTAAATCCATGCAATCTCCCAATTTCTTCAATTAAATCAATTTGACGAGTAATATCATCACTTCGAGAATTAGGGATTTCAACTTCCCACATTAACTCTGAATCATCAAACGTATTATTAAATTTTAATCGCATTAAATAATTATTAACCATCGCTGGTGTAATATATTTTGATTTCGATTTCGCATAACCTTTGATAGGTCCTAAAATTTCATTAATCGTTTTATGATGCAAATCAATAGTCGCTAGTTTTTGAAATTCACCATTAAAACTTGTATGAAGCTTACAAATTAAATTTGGATTTGTTGTCTTTAATAAACTTATTAATTGATAGACAGATTCAATTAATGAATCAGACTTTAGAGATTTTTCATATCTAGCAGAACGATCAGTTCTTAAGCCTAAGATTCGTGATTGTTGTCGAATTTTTGTAGAATTAAAAATAGAAGATTCAATTAATAAAGATTTTGTTTCATCAGTATAACAAAATTCTTTATGGGGAATTATTCCGCCAATTGCTAAAGATAAATCATTTGCTTTTAATATTAAAATCGAATCATTTAACTGATAAGTCAAATTATTACTAGCGTAAAATGTTTCATTGCTTGTTGCTTTTTCTAGTTTTAAACTGAAAGTCGTGTCTTCAACTTTATTTTTAATTTTATTTAAATCATACAATTCAAAAGGATAACCTGTTTCTAATAATATATAGTTTTGAAAGTCTAATAAATTATTAGATGGTGTTAATCCAGATTGCCGCAATTTTTGTTTTAACCACGTCGGACTAGTAAAAGTGGTCAAATTCTCTACACTAATAGCTAAAAAATTTGAATAGTCTTTTACTCTAGCTGTCTTAAACTTAATATTATTAACTTGTTTATTCCAAGTTGAATTTTCGTTTAAAAATTTAGACGTCTTATAGGGTTTATTTAATAAAGTAGCAATTTCTCTTGATATACCC